CACACACACACACACACACACACACACACACACACCTAAATAAATGTCATGTATGTGAATGTAGATTCCTTTGGACTTATTTTCTCAATAAATATGTCGTAATAAATTGTAACGAATATTTCAAAATATCAGTTTTTCGTTAAAACGTGCGAATATCTTCTGGTATGACCTGATGTTTACTAATATATTTCGGTTTTAAAACACGCTGCAGTGCGTACAAATACTGCACGCAATTTTAGACGGCATTTATATTTAACAAATATATGTTAAAACAGCGCATGCACCGTTTGCTCATAATACATTTCTTTAACATAAATCAGTGATAATATAAATATATTGTATTTATATTTCTAATAATATCCCTTACGGTACAGCACTGGATGTTTTATGTCCGACCATTTCTGTTCGTGCAAGTTACTCGTATAAGTATTCAATCCTTCGTTTCTTCATTTATTTTATTACTTTTTAAAATAAAAGTCAGGTATTTATTCTAGATGCTTGAAATGATATCCATAAATTTTTTAAGATTTTTTAAACCACTTTAAATAGGTGAAAAAAATGAATGGCTCTAAAAGAAACTCACATTTGTATCAATAGGATACCGTTTTGTGTATATATTGTACCGTAAAGGACATAATATATTTTTTAGATTAGAAATTTTCTATTGTTTTTTATGAAATAAGCTTATAATAGCTTACAATATATTTTCATTGATTTTATAATAATTTCATTCAAATAGTATATTTTTGTCTGAAACATTTTTCTCAAAAATGCTTTCAAGATATTCGACCGTTTCCAAACTTTTGACACACCCTATATGCATATCTACATACATTGATTACTTTTTTCTTACTGATTTTGTCAACTCAGTTAACACTGACTTTTCATTGCAGTCCATTAATTGTAATTTTTAACTTGCTGCCCATAAATTATAAATTATTATAAATATTCAACACATTGACAATAGATATATTTGTATTGAATTCGCAGATTAATATTGGATCAACGGTCTGCTTAATAATTGAAAATGTCAATTTTTAAAATTTCTGTAGTCTACGCACAATTGCCTTTTCTTTTTTTATTTTTAAGATTTACCAAATTTCCTCTCCTCGATCAAATATAATTCTTCCTTCATTCTTGTCGCACGCGCGCACGCGTGTTGCTTGATGGCTATTTCTGATCTGCTTCACGTCGAGATGCGTAAAGCGCGTACGATCTTTAGAGTAAATCACGCCTGAATGCAGAACATCCCGTCGAACGTGGCGCATCAAATCTGCATTTGTTTTAACGGGCGTTCCATTGAATCCGTCATGATGGTGAGTTATGTCGACCGTGCGGTAAGCAAAGCAAATTTGCGTGTAAACAAATGCAGAATGTTCTACTATACGTCGCGTCGCTGCACGTCAAAATGCTGCGCCGTTGTTACCTGAAAATTGAAACAACTGCATGACTTGAACACGTTGTCTGACGTACAGATGAAAAAGAAAATTAATCGTCGAGATTGCAATCAAGTAAATAAATTAACATTTAAATAAATTAACATTCCACGTAGGTTGATTCTTTGGCTTGCAACGAGAGAAGAAATAATTTTTATTTTTTAAGTATGTAAATTTATAAATTTTATGTATTCATAAATGTCATAGTGAAAGGTTTTGCATGTGTATTTTCTGATTAATTTTTTTTTTCTTTTATATTTTTAACTTGATAAATGAGTTGTTTATATATGTATAATATAGGAAAATTTTTATCTTTTTAGTGAAGAATTAAACAATTCAAAAAGATACTTTTCAATCCAATGATATTGAAAATAGTCATTTAAATTTACGGAACACACTAAGTCGAGAAAAAGTCAAAATGATCTTATTTTGACGTTATGAAAGTCAAAATGATTTTTTAATAAAATTTAATTTATTAACGTTAAGAGTTAAAACAAAGTCATTTTGATTTTTGTTGACTTTTGTGTATTCCTTGGAAAGACATAAAATAACATGGATCACATCCGTAAATAGCACATCTAATATACTATTTAGTGATCAATAAAAATAAGAGAAAGGGAGCGTAAAGACAGTCGATCTTCCTCTCTTTCTAACAACATCACATCGTTGAATAGGAAGAGACAAAGACCAGCTGTCTTCTCGCGTCCTATCTCTATCATTTTTATCGATCAATTATTATAGTATTTTTTTCTAAATGTATACATTTACTAAAGTTAACACTTTGATTGTGACGTAAAAAAATACATTGCTCTATGTCTTTGATTGAACCGTACGAAAGTATGAGAATTGTTATTTTCGATCAAATTTTTTTCCGAACAGAACGATTTTGATCAATTTTACACACGCTGCACGTGTCGAATTAAACGAAACGCGTATCCAATAGAATGTCCCTTTGATCGTGTGCGTTTATTTGCTTGCTCGAGTAATATACGCGGCGGCGTCGACGCATCGCGCGTAAATGCGCTGCGTATTTCCTCAGAGAAGTGCAGCCGGTCGTGACGCATTGCCGTGGCCGTTTACGCGTGTACGTAATTGTACCTACGTATCGACATGTGCAAGGCGAAAAATTTTCACACGCATAAAACGCGACCTACAACGACAGTGCGTTCCCGCGCCGCTCATCGCCCATCGCTCATCGCTCGTGAGAATGAGACAAAGCGAGATAAGATTGACCGATATTTCATAGTCGATTCTTATATTTAAGATCGTTTCAAGTACAATCTTAAGGTGTTGTGAACCAATCCAGAGGGCTGTATTAGCATCTTAAGACGTTACTTAAGACGTCTTAAAATCTTATAAATGTATACACTGATTACAGCAAGCTACAGTAAATGTATATATTTACTGAGTTAACACTTTGACTGTGCACGGAAAAAAATACAATTGATCGATAAAAATGATAGAGATAGGATGCGAGAAAACAGCTGGCCTCTGTCTCTTCCTATTCAATTTCTTAAAATCAGAATGGACTATGAATACCATTTGTTAACTGTGTGCGCCCGGCGATATTTGACAATGATTTACTGGTTTTTATTGAAGTCCACAATTCGGTTATGCTGTTTCCAATGGAAATAGAGACCTTCGGATTGAAGTGGGAATAAATTGAAAACAATCAAACGCAATCTCTGTACACTTTTTATGAAGAAACCGATTTCTGTCAAATTAAATTTTTGATACGTGGTTACTTTTATTATGCTGATCAAAATAAGCATGATCTCAGAAAAACTCAACTTTTACGATTCGGAGCTCTAAATTGCACAAAATTATATATTTTACAGAATCGTTTTCTTTTTCTATAATTTTTTTCATATATTATATATATATATATATTTTTTTTAGTCTTTTCTGCAGCTTCCAACTTTGCAACTTTCCTGATAAAGAAAAACCTAAAAAAGCCTAGTCCATAAAAAAGATAGATTAACGATTTTTACCATGATTCTTATCAGTAATTGTAAAGTTGAGACCACGTCCATTAAGATTTTTTTATCAACATCAAAAGCAACCACATATAAAAAATTTAGCCAAGTTGATAGAGGAATCGGTCTCTTTATAATTAAGAAGCGTATGGAATCCTTTTGGTTTTTCATTAGATTGATTTGGGTTTTCATTAGGTTTCGCATTAGATGTAAAGTAATGTTTCTGTAGAAACTAGACCGATGAGATTAACGAGATCTGGCGAGTTCCCTCCAGGCGTGCATGCGATTTCGTTGAAGATTTGCCGCAATAATCAGGAAAGATGATGAAGAAAATGCGTCCATCTCGCACGCGAAAGAGACGCTCCTTGGTAGCAATCCGTGGATTTCACACGTTCCTGTAATTATATGAGACGGTGTAGCACGCGTTTCTATTATTACTCGTTCCGCTGCGTGTCTTGCCGTACAAAAGGTTCAATCTTCAAGTCTTTTGTAAAATAAACGTTGACAGACAGAATTGTCTTCCTATGTCATTTGCTTTTGTTACACAGAAGTCTTCCGGATCACTGACCTCTTTTGTTACGATTATATTTAATTATCCGAATTCCAATATATTTTTTGATAATTTCACTTATTTCAAGAGTTCCAATTTCAAGAGTTCCAATCAAAGCACAAATTAGAGAGTTATGTAAAATAATTTTTTTAAATATACATATATGCATACATTAAAAGAAACGTGTACAATGAAAAACTTTGCCACAATGTGAATACCAAGAAGCCTCAATATAATAAATTAAGACTCGAGTGACTCTAACTATAATACATAGAATTTTCCTCGATTTGAGTTGAATTCTGAGAATAAAATTAAGACCTCTACATTAAAGAGAAATTGACATTTCGCATGATGCATGTTTTTATGTTCTTTTAATTTATGCGAACTTGGTATTTGAGGACGATATCAAGGCATCAGTTCATAATCTTGCAGTACACACGATATCGATCTACTACAACATAGACACACACAAATTACTATACACAAAAGAGAGGAATACATCGCGTATGGTAAAATGTACAACACACACATGTTTCTCTCATATTTCCACTTCTGTTTTTATTTTGTTAATTTTCTCGTATAATATATACTAACAAAACATTTAATTACAAAACATGGGCATATCTGTGTGTTTTGTGTGTGTGTATGTACGAGTACGTGTCTTGTGATGAAAGCAGCTATGTGTTCTTTTTCTATGCGGTACGCGTACCTTTTCTGGTTAATGTAGATATTACGATTAAACTTCATAAGTTTTCTACGATAAGTAGATGGATTGATAACGACAATTTACACGCAAAAAACGTGTGGCAAATGCCCCCTGTCCGTCCCGTTATCGTCATTCCCCATTCCTTCATTTTTATAATATCGTTCCTCGTTCGTTCATTTAATCGCGAGTCAGGTTTCCATGGTCGGGCCTCATTTACCAAAATTCTTCTCACTCTCTCTCTCTCTACAACCTATATCCGTCATAAATATGCAAACGCAAGAAGGGATAAAAACGCTACTGTAATATGCGATATAATAATATTATCGTACTTCGATATTAGTTATAAATAGTTTTTTAATAATTATTTGTCCAAACACTGAATATTTTACAACAGCCATCGAATCTCAACTATTTGTAACTCTATTTAAACAGTTTGCAACTTTTACACTTTATCATTCATTTTTTTTTCAATTTCACTTTTAATATTATTATGCGTATAGCACATGATCTGATCCAATATCATATCAATAATAGGGATATATCATAAATTTTGTAATTTCCTAAAAAATATTCTCTAAAAAATATGTCGACCTAAAGATTATTATGACTGATAATCACAGACAATTTTTTCAATTTTTCTTTTTCTCTTTCATACCATCGTCGAGTTTGTCAGTAATTGTTATTTATCTTCCCTCTTACTTTTCTTTTAAACAAGTATAATATTTCAAAATTCTACACTTTGTTTAAACGTTAGAATAGTAGGTTTATACACGTCTTAAGAAGCGTTTTATATTTCAATTTTTCTCCCGTTTCCTCTTCTAATTGCTTAAATTGTAATATTTTAATATTCTCAGCTTAATCCTTTTCTCAAGAAAAAAAAAAAAAAATCTAAAGGGCTCAATGAGACCAAATTTCCGATTGTGAAAGATCGCAATTAGCGTGACGATGCGCCGAAACCGTCGCGTCGCGAGAACACGGTAATACACACCGCGTGCTCGTCACGTTTCCGCGAAATCACTTAATCACTCGCAATTTTAAACGCAACGCTGAAATGCGACGTCCGTTCGGATTCGAATCGTTCGAACTTCGAAGCGAATCTGTCTGTCGAGAGGTAAAACATGCGTAAAAGTCGGAGAGAAACAATCTACCTATTACATCTATACATTAGTATCATTTTTTTTCCTTTAATTATTGGTAAACTACTTAAACAGTTTATTCATCGTACCGTTTCTTCGGATGTTCGTCATTTTTTTTACACGCAGCGTTACTTTTGAAAGGTGCTGATGGGTGTAGTAAACAAACGGTGCTTAATATGCCCAAATACGAGTGACTTGAGTAGTGATGTATTATGCTTTCTCTTTCTCGTTTTTTGTGTGTGTATAGATTATAATTAATAGCGATAATAATAATAATAATAATAATCATAATCATAGTGAAGGCTGTATGCGTAATACTCTCTAAGGAGGGTCGTACACCCTTTTTACGCAGTTTAAAGAGTAGTTTAAAAAGACACAGAGTATGTTCCAGAAAGCACCTGATAGATATTCGTCCGAATCTCCATCAGGTAAGGATTATTAGCAGACAAGTAAATCTCTCTCTCTTTCTCTCTCTCACACACACACACATACGCTTTTAATCTTCCGCTACAAGCATACGTTTAAACTGTTCCATACTTTTTGCTGAAGTACTCGCGTGGGTACATTACAGAAGTCGTCGATGATACAAATAATGAAAAGGGAACGCTGTACTGAAAAATTTAAATCTATTCGCGAACGTAGAAATAAAATCGGACAATGATGGATAGCTTACAGCTTACAATCATAATATAGAGCAATGTAAAAATCGAGTTACATGGTATGTATGCCTACAGAGAATACACCTTGTAAAGCCCAAATGAATTCTGACCGATTATTCTAGCGTAACAATCAGGAGACTATAATCGAATTAAAGATACACGATTGCTTGTTTGTTAGGAAAAAAAAAAAAAAAAGGATTTGATCCTTGTATCCGCGTTAATCAATGTGACTACCATATATGTGCACCGGTCCTAAATCGTTCAGTTTACATTAGTACTTTTTCGTCAACCCTAATACCATATCGTTTATAATCAATAAATATCAATAAAATATCTAACATTGTTATATTTTCAAGTAAGTTACCATCCTTACTAGTCGTATTACTTTTCATGTACAGATTAAAATTAATTATCATTATATTAACAATATTCATCTCCTCGAATATAATAGTCATTAATTATCGATAATTATAATATTAAAAAAAAAAAAAAGATTCACAAAATATCTAAAAGATGGCAATTTCACGTGACCAGAACAGGTTTCCGTTTTCCCGCGATTTTATAACTTTTTACAACTCAGCATATGCGCTTTGTACCAAACCAGGCCGATTAAAATCGCAGCACGTCTGACATTATTCGTGTGCTCAAATAATGCGCTCCTATGTGTGTGCCACCATTTCACCCCTTTATATTATCTCTTTAAATAATTCACGATCAATATTCTTCGTATAACGCATTTCTTATTATTATCAAACACTTCCGCACTGCAACCTTACTATCTCTTACTCTAGGCCATTTTTTCATGAAAAGTGCACTTAACGGTGTCCATGGAGCACCAAAATTTAAGGGACTACCACCTCGGCAGAAATTGATTAATCGCGCTAAAATACGATGTAGTTGTATCGGAGGGCGCCGTGCCATGCGCCGTTGCGGTTGTGTTAGTTTCGAATATAAAATATCATTTGCGTAAATATATATATCTAAATCTATCACCGGGTGAAAGCGTAGGTACATGTAAAAGTAAGGCAAAACTGGACTTCACAGAAGGGTATTGGTACGGAATACATGGTATATATGTATCCGTAAAAATGTAAAATATATATTCCTATAAAAGCATCTCTAATATATTTCCCATTATGGGAAAATATCACAAACGTTCGCCGGAGAAACGTATCCGGAGACGTTTATCCCAAACAATGCATAAATCTTCGTCGATTTGACCGACGAACAAACCGATTTTTCGATTAAAAAAATTCTTTTAAAAAGATTATTTAAAACCGTTAAACGCTTCTATTCAATACTCGTCAAACAAAATGTCGTGTCTCGTATAATTCAGACAATAGAATTCGGATAATAAACTCGATGAATATGATCTTGGCAAGGTGGAAGCACAAATATAGACGCGATATTTAAAAAAATATACAAAAAGGAAAAGAGAGGGCAAATAATATCGAACTCGCGCCATTCATTTTTACATTGAATAAATAGTTCTGGAAAGCAAATATCCTCTAGTCAATGATGCCACGTGAACAATAAAACAAAATCGTATCAATGTCTGCCAAAGTAGGTATACCTTCGAACAATATCCTGCTATAGGAGACTGTTCTCACTTGCCATTCTCTATCTCTCTCCTTAATACCTACATTCCTAACTTAAGTTAAAACTGATTTGCTGTACTTACATCAAAGACGATATATCTAGTCTAACAATTACATATTTTACAAAAACATTTGAAATCTGGCCCTACAGCAGACATGAAATGTCACGAAGTTAGTCATACACTGTACACTAAATTTAAAATTTACAAATCATCTAAATATACAATTATCGCGCATTTTATGCGCATTTTCACGCGCTTGACAAGATCTTTTGTACACTATGTTTACGTTATTTTTATATTGTGATATTTGAAAGAAATGTAAATGACTTTCAGAAAGCTACGATCATTGTCGAAAATCCGCTAGTTTCTCGTAGTACTCTTGCGGCATCATTTTCCATTTTCATCCTTATGATACAAAATGATTTCGTTTAAAGAAAGAGTTTATTTTCAAATCCGATTTAAAGCATCGAGAGATCCATATCATGCAAGAATTATGCGCTCTCGTATAAGGAGCTCTCGCATTTAGTGTAAAGTGTAAGATAACTTGTACACTTAAGCCTCAACAGTAGATAATACGTAGAGTCTAAAAGTCGTGCGAGAAAGCACAGGCGTGAATAAAATAACACTTTCACAAGTCTGAAGCGCGTTAGTAAAACGCACGACTTTGTCGGATACAAAAGCAGGAGATACTCGAATGGTTTATTGCTATAGGTATATGTGTAAATATACCCCCCGTTAAATCAACTACAGGAACGTAGCTGTCTAAAGTAACATCATCGTAACCGCTGTGCTTCGCGTATTACGTCTGGCCTTCTAATCTTTAAAATGTATAATCTATGTTCTTTTATAGTAATAAAAAGCTGCAATCTCTGAAAATAGTTTGATGATGAGTAAAATGAATAACATTCAATAAAACGAATCCTATTCGAAAGCGCGCGCGCAATTATAGCACATATTTTATTTCTTTGTCTTCGGTCGGCTGCTTAAGATAAGCTGTATATACGCAGTCTCAGTTGAGGTATTTCCGACATTTGCGAGAACCGCAAGTACACGGGATCTTAATATCCTCGAATGGGAATTTGTAGTCATATGTCAACTCCTCTCCTTGAATGATGCGACGAAGAGCAAAAATCAGTATGTGTTTCTTACCTAGTATGTCCACCACTCGCGAGTAGCAATTTGGCTATAACATACATATTTTCGTATAATACATATTTATCAAATATTTCAACGTGATGATTATAACAACATTAACGTAATGTTTAATTATATATATTATATATTACATAATCAAATTAGAAAATTGGAAAGTGCAATTTAAAATAATTAGATTTTTATATATTTAAAAACATTTATACAAATAAAACAATGTTATTAGTAATAAAAGCTTTTATCAATTTGTAGTATTAGGTAAATTTTTGTTTTAAAAATAAAGAAAAAGAAATCTCCCGTACCTCGCACGAATGATTGATAAATCTAGCTGCATTTCCCTTCATAGTAGCATCAACAACTAGATGATCGTCGATTTTAAACATATAACAGCCTATATTCTTGCTGTCATAATACTTTTCTCTTTTGTCGGTCAAGGAAGATCGAATAACCTAATGATAATCAATAATTTTAATGATTATAACAATAATAATAATAATAATAATAATAGCGATATTAGAGACCCTATATGTAACAGCATTCGCAAAGTGTCACGTGATCAATACAATATATTTCTCTGATTGGCTGGAGTAATTTGTAGTAGCTGTCATATTGAATTTACTATCAACATACTCAACTCCTGTCGACTGCTCTACGAATCTCTGTTATATTACATCGGTCTCTAAGCGATACCGATTACAAGTATCGTGACATAATCTTCCAATATGTGAATATGAATAGTTTGCTACTTACTTCACCGGCGTATTCAATGACCATCTCACCAGGCTCAATATCTCTCAAACAAAACAGTCCTCTACCATGTATATGGGAATAATATACACCAACAGATGCTTTTGATGTTTCCTTAAGTATTCTAAAGCGCATTGCCATAGGCAAATTGGTACTCACGGCTCGCCTGTAACAGTATTCATCACAATGCTTTATTAAATAAATTATTAATAATAGCACTTGTTTATTTTTCATATTACAGATTTTATTTATAGTCTAAAGTATAACTTATACTCGATATATAATGTGTATCAAAAGATGACGTGTGATTATTAAAATAAAAAATGTAAATATATCACATCAATGATATACAAGACCATTAAAATGAAAGCGTTAAAACTCACATTGATAATTAAATATCAGAAATCACATGAATTAATTTACAAGAAACAATTATAAAATAGCATGCAATTTTGTCTTTACGTTGTATAAGCGTGATGGCGAATTTTACCTAGACTCTGTTTCCGATATTGTAATTATATTAGGATGCGGTCTATGCTGCGACGCCAACCAGCTGAACATGTCGTGTACTTTCCTGCCTTTAAAAGGCTCTGCTCGTGCCGCTCCGTTGGCACACGCTGCCGGCAACTCATTTTCCATCTCGTCGGGTTTTGGCGGTTCCAACGTATGGAATTTGGGCTTATACTTGCTGCATCTGTTGACGCCCGGCAATTGTTCGATAAGGTAGATAGCCGCATTATTCTCCAAACCGAGACCCTCGGACAACGGATTGTGAGGCAGAGGAGACAAGTTGTGAGCCTTGCGCGCATTTTGTACCGCCTGATACACCGTCTCCCAAACTTCGGTCATAGACGAGGCAGTATGGGTAAAGCCATCTTGCGACTTGATCTCATACATTAAGATCGGTCCTTTCGAGCAATTGTGCATTTGCGGCGGATTCTGCTGCGGATTGTTTCGCAGCGGTCTGATTGATTTCGTCACTATTCTGGGTTTCTTGACAGCTACGGGCGGCGCTTTTGCCTTAAGTATGTTCACTTTCGCGTCTATAGGCTTCACCTTGTCCTCGAGTTTATTCGCTTTGAGCGTAAACGTTTTAATCGGTAACAGTTGTAATGACGCAATCTGAGGCACCTGTTTTGACGGTAATATTTCCACAGATGTTACTTGTGGTGTCTTTTTGCTCTGAGTGACCGCCTTCATATTGCGCGTGATCTTGTAAGAACCGTCCTGTAACTGTTTCTGCAACACTATCTTCAACGATGTGTTTTGTAGCTTCTCCTTATCAAGTTCCAGTTTGAGATTCTCCTTTACCTTCTCTATAGTTTCTGTATTTAATTTGATATTGTCACTGATATTGCTGAGTGCGGTTTCAGGTTTTTTTATTTGCACGATCTGCTCGATGATTTCCTTCTTTGACTCTACAATTTCCGGTTCGGCTGGCTTGATCACCGGTTTCGTCGGCTCTTCAATCGCCAAATCATCTTTCTTTGCTGGATCCTGTTTAAGCGTCACCGCCTGCATTGGTAGCACTCTGTTCATCGGTCTACTGGTCGGCATGTTATTCGTCGGCATCGTAATTTTATTTTGCATAGAGTTGGAATTAGAGACGACGATTGGGCTGTTATTGTTGATGCATGTGTTCACCGAGTTCGGATTCAACACGGTACCGCTAGTGTAGCTCTTATGTACGCTATTTACATCGTGATTTGACTTATGATTTAAAACTAGATTCCGTTGCGTAACATAATGATTCGATAGAGGTGGTATCTTAGATGATGATATGCTAGACTTGATCATGCTAGTGTTCTCCGATACATGTTTCGAATCGAAGTATGGTCGCACACTGTTATTCATTGGTTGCTCCGCGCCGAACAACGGCTCAGTAATCTTCCAAGCGGCTCCATGATTCGCCTGAATCAGATGTGTGATTGGACTGGGTCTCACAGCGACACGAGGTATCGTTGGCATTGCATGAGGTGGTAGAGCCGATGATGGCGGCGATGGTAGCGGCGATGGAGGTGTTGATGGCGGTGGTGGTGGCGGTGGCGGTGGCGGTGGCGGTGGTGGCGGTGGCGGTGGCGGTGGTGGCTGTGGCGGTGGTGGTGGTGGTGGCGGTGGTGGTGGCGGTGGTGGTGGTGGTGGCGGTGGTGGTGGTGATGATGGTGGTGGCGGCGGCGGCGGTGGTGGCGGTGGCGGTGGTGGTGGTGGTGGCGGTGGTGGTGGCGGTGGTGGTGGCGCCGACGATGATAGCTTTGGCGTTATCACGCTTATCGACGTCGCGTTCGATGAGCACACATCTGCCACTTGAATCGATGCCATTGGATGCTCTATGGTCGCATTTTGACACGGTACCGGTGTCACGACGTTACACGCGATGCCACCATAAGCTCGTTCCGGAGGTGTAGCGGAAATGTTGATTTGTGGTGGCGTTACAATTGGATCCACTGCTAGCGTTGATGCTGATATTGATATTGGTGCTGGTATTGATACTGGTGTCGGTATTGAGACTGGTGTTGGTATTGATACTGGTGTCGGTATTGACATTGGTGTCGGTAATGACACTGGTGTCGGTATTGACACTGGTGTTGGTATTGACACTGGTGTAGGTATTGATGCCGATGCTGGCATCGGTGCCGCTGCCAATGTTGGTGCTGGTGATGGTACTGGAGCTGCTGCTGATGGTAGTGGCGGCGCCGATTGGTTCACCACCACGTAAGGCACTCCGGAAATGTTGGACATGCCACTTACATTCTGCATACTCGCTATGTTAGGTACACCAGTTATGTTGGGCATACCAGATATGTTCGGCATGCTCGATACATTTTGCATCGTTGTTACAGTAGGTACGCCCGGCATAGCTTGTACATCCACGATAGGCTCCATCAACTTAGACGCTTGAAATACCTGTGTTGTTGTTTGGTAACTACTGGCCAATACTTGTGGCACTGTGCCCGCCATGAATTGGCTAGACGACATCACGGTATTGCTAACGATTGTCTCCAGACCATAGTACATCGGTTGATTCGATACGAACATACCGCCGGTTGGATCAGTGAACATTTCCAGAGTAGGCGTAGAACTCAATAGCAGTTGCTCCGATGATATAACGCCACATTGAATTGCATTGGGTTGTTGTTGTATGATGGTACCTAATACAGTAGGCTGTGTCTGCGCAATCTGCACGCTCGGCAATATCGATATACCACCGTTTTGTAACAGCAGATTGTCGGTGGACGGTGCTTGTATATAGGTGCCTGGCACCAAAGAATTTGCGGCGATCAGCTGCGGCTTGAAACCAGTCTCTTGCCCGTCACCTATCGTCGTGATGTATTGTAAATTTTGACCGGATTGTTGCTGCAGGGCTTCCACATAAGCAGATACAATTCCTGGTGACGCCACTTGCTGAAGGATCACTGTGGGCGGTCTCGGAGTGGTCTGATGTAATTGGATTACCGGTGGACCGTTCGATATTGCTGTTGGTTGAAATTTGACATTGTGCGCGACATTTTGCGGCGACTGCATTACGTTTTTTAAAACATGCTGCTGCGGCTTGATGTTCTTGGTCTTAGGCTTGGCTACCCGTAAATTCTTCTTGGAAGAGGTCCGGGTGATCTGTGCGTTCGTCTGCATAGACTCGTGCGCGGTTTGTACGCCCATGGACGAAAAACTGGGCGACATTTCCGGACTTGGGACGGTCTGCGAGCTCGTGCTGTCCGGCGAACTCATCGGTGTATTCACGATACCATGCGCCGTAACGTTAGAGTCGCTGGAGATGGACGGCGAATCTGTGATTTCCGTTATCTGCACTGTGCTTTCCTGAGGAGGTAATACTGCTGGGTTCGGCAGAGTGGTGGTTCTACGAGTGTATTGAGTCTGTACGATCACGTCGTTGGACGTTAATACTGTCTGGTGTACGGTCTCGACGGTGGCATGTGTCGCATGAATTTGTGGCGTGATGATTGCTTGGGCGATCGGTTCAATCTGGATACTCGGATGAGGCGACGCCACGGATGCTTCGATAGGTGACGTCGCTTGAATATCCGAGTAATCGGTCGTTAGAGTGTGGCCCTCGGACGGTGAAAGCGTGATGAATTGCGATGACACCGAACCCATGTTTGGGGAAAACCCCGACTCTGGCGACGTCAGCTTGTTGTCCATGGTCTCCGAATCGCTATCACTGGTGATCATAGTATCGCAGTTGTCCAGATGACGATTATAACTCTCCTCGTTGCGATACGTGAGGCCACATCTCTTGCAAGTGACATCGATATCCTCGAACGGTGACGATTCGTATGAGGCATGAAGTAATCTTTCATGCGTCATCATGTGTTGCGACGAGACGCACTCGTCGTCGCTCGAAATATCGCCTGCACCATCGACCTGTGGGATCTGCAGATTCATTTTGAGATTCTTCTCCTTGAACAAGACTTCCGCTTTGTGCGAGGTACACCTAATGGTTGGTGCAGTTATGAAGTTGCTATTGCCACTTTTTATTTTTTTATCACAGTTACTTGACACGTGTGATCTAATGAAACCAAAGATACGCTTTGAATGTAAAAGATTTGAAGGCCGCGCGTACAAGCCAAGTTCCATTTCTAAGCTTGACTCGCTCGCGTCAGACGAATGCTCGTCGTTAATGCCGTCTAATTGCGGGATCGATAATGATTCGGACGTTTGAAGATTCGCGTTTTTCTCCTCGGCATTGTATTCTGGTGAACTGCACTCGCTGGCACTATTAGCGTCAACCGACCCGTCGACCTGCACTATTCGCGGTTGCTGCTGTCTCGGATGCCAGAGCAGCCTTTTGTGTTCCTTTACGTCGTCCCTAGCTGGCAACACGCGGCGATTTAATCCAGCAGAGTCCTCAATACAGTACTTCAATTCGCGCACGGAATCGGATAGTATGTTAGGCGTGTTTCCTCTTCCCACAGTGACCATAATACTCTCGGGGATTCTCAATTCATGAAACATCGACGTACGTTCGTTTTGCGCATCAAGAACAATAAGACCGGTTTCGCTGGACTTGGTACTGGATGGATTTCGAGGCAACTTTCGTCTTTTTAAATTAGAACCGTAAGTGTTGTCTAGCTTGCAGCTCCATGTGAGGCTACAGGAACGCTGATGATGCCTCTGACCGCCGACGATCAGCGGATTGTTCGACATCACCTCAGATTTGGATCGTTTTAGTTCTCTACCGCCGCGTTTCTGGCTTTTTGAATTAAATAAGTCGTCCATGAGGTCCTGCATCGCAGTCTTTGTTTCCAATCGTACCCAGAGATCATTGTGCGCTCCTAATTCCAACAGAGACGAATCTATTTTGGAGATCTTACTTTCCGACGGTTTTATCGTCTCTTCGACTTCTGATGACAACATATCATCCTTAAATAAATCCGTGCTGAAAGAGCCATCATTCTTTAAATCCATGGCTAAAAAATCCTCGTATGACATCTTTGGAAAAATGTCTTGCATAGAAATTCCATCTAACAGGTCGTGTGGCAAATCCTCAAATATAGCCTCCTTCAATTCCGGCGGTAAAAGATCTGTATTGTTCTGCTCCGCTAAATTCTCATCAACTTCTTTGTTGCACACGAAATCGATGAGCGCATCTAGAGTTTGTTTGATGGCCAAATAGTCTGTCGGTACTTCATCTTTTTCCTGCTCCTTGCTATGATCGATGGTGATGTTATTCTCCATGTCGGACGAGACGTCCGGCATATGTACCTGCACATAAGTTCTAATGTAATATCTCACGATCTTGTAAGGATTCACTGTAGACCAGTAAAGTCTTGAACATTTGTAATCGCATGGTATTATCTTCTCAGCCGTATCAGAGAATTCCGGAATGACGGTGCCCAAACAGTCGACCATTAAAGAACCTATCATTAACTTAACTTTGTTGGGTTCGGCAAATTTCTTTTTCTTACGATCCAACTCTACATACACCGGTCGTTTCAAACTAAACTCGTTCTCGTTCTGTAGAGACTTATAGACGTGACTTGTATTCGAATGTGAGATGCAAAATACAGTTTTGTCGTCGTTGAAAGCGAGTCCGATATTCCTCGCGCATGGAAAATGAAAAGTATTGCTGCAATTCTTCGCGCAACATCCGATGCTCGCGCCCTTCTTACCGCACTCGGAGCAGCGAATCAAACGACCCCTCGAAATGGCACTATGAACATTCTGCAGTGAGCCATCAATTTCCTCAAACACCTCGTTTGACCATAGCGCGCAATTCGCGTGTACCCATTCATTCTGGCCACAATACAATAATCTTCCCTCTTTTGTCTCGTGCCCATCGCCCAAACCCTTGCATAAACAACACGATCTGCTGTCCTCGACGTGAATATTATATAGATTCGCCGTTTTTGCTGCGATTGCTTTCGGTGCTTTCATCACTTCCTCCTTCCACGCCTCCAGAATAGGATCGTCAAACTTTGTTGTCAGAGCAATGTCTTCGCCAACGTCTTTAATAGGCGTTAACGTATCATCGTTATTGTCGCTGCTCTTAAAATTCTTCGGAGTAAACCATGGAAAAACCTCTTGTAGAATATCGTGATACGTTTCTATCAGATCTTTTGAACCGACACGGTTGATTACATGCATCATATCACAATGAAATTGTAATAACGATTTGTACTCGTTACTGTTTACCTTACGTTTCACAGACATTAAAGTGGGCGAGGGCCTTGCGATGATTTGCTGCTCGGAACAGTGGCATTCTGTGATATCGGTTGAAGAAACTAATGAATCTTGATTTGTCAAGTCTTTTCTCTCGTTATCTTGAGAGTCCTTCGGAACGCAGTTTTTCACCCTAACCGAGCATTCTTTTAGATGGAATTTTTGTCGTAGTCGTCGCAGACCTTTTCTAATGGAACTATCTATTGAATGTTCTTCTAAATCAGGCTTATTCCCATCCTTGTAATTGGCACCCGAACTCGAGTCGATATCTATGGACTTGTCACCATTACACTC